TCAGTTTCAAAGGAGAATATGCCTAGGAAGGAGAAAACACAAGCATTAGTCAAATTATCAATAAGCTACAACGGCAAAAACTGAGAATGAAGTCTATGTCCCATTTACATCCTCCAAATGAGCCTGATTGGTAAGTATCTCGCACTCCTCTTCTCAGAAAGCAAGCTCAGATACCAATGAATCCCCCGCACCGACGAAAAGGTCCAGGCTCAGCAAGGGACCCTCCACGCAGTTTCGACGAGGCACTCGACAAATAAAGAAGAGGCGGCCTTGTCATCCCCTACGCTTCATGGGGCTGCCCAACTCTCGGCGTTATGATGGGCTGAAACTTCTTGAAAAAAAGGCAGAAGTCTTTATAATAAAGAAGAGAAAAGTGTAGACGACCAGGGACCGCGACATGTGGGAACAAATGTCCGCCCTGCCTGTGATCGCTGCTCGAGCGACGACGCTGGCCACGGCTTCCTGCCTGCAAACCTGGACCGCTAGGGTGCAGCGTGTAGAGGCGAGGCGGGATGGAGGGCAGGGCCGCGAGAGGATCGGCTCAAATTCTTCGGCCCTTGACCCCCCAAGCCCCCCCAAAAAGGGGACCTGGGAAGTGCAGAAAAACGAGGGAGGGCGTTCGCGCTTCAGGGTCCGTGGCACTTCTAGCGGACACAGGGTCTCGTCATTCGTAGCCGGCGACGGCGACAGTGGCCTGCTTGAGAGATGGTGTTGACTGAGCGTAAGGGGCAAGCAGGCCGCCGGTCATGGTGTTGTCGGTAGCGAAGGGGAGAGGCAGGCCGGATCGACGCGAAGGCTCTGCGGTCAACCTTCCAGCAGCAAAGTGGAACGGCGTCTTGAAAAAGAAGGATCCTCGACTGCCCTCCCACGAGGGAAAAGCAGGAGGATCGACTAAAAATAAAGGGTGGTGTTCAACGCTTCAGACAGCCCAGAGGGTCATCTTCCAGCGGAACAGCGATAGAAAAATGGCGCTCCTGGCCTGTTCGACGCTCGTGGGTTGACGTCATGGGCACGAAGCAGTCGGAAAAAGAGATGCTGGACTGCTCGCACGGCGGGCGGAACGGGGGAGGCTCAGTTGGCGATGCATGGTGGCATGCGTGGGATGATGAGGGAGGGGAGGGAGGTGATTTGGCGGGGCCTCTGCTGCGAAGCAGGTTCTCGAGATGAATCGGAGAACTGCGCTGACGAGATGGGAAATGGTGGGATGAACGGGCAGGAAGCAGCCAGTCTTATACCTTCCAATTGTGGCAAGATATGAGCAGACGCAGCAGTGACGAGGGGCCCAGGGACCCAGGGACCCAGGGACCCATTGAGGTGAGGTTGAGACAAGTTCAGGTATCGGGGCGTCACAGACACGGCTAATTGCACGCATGTCGCAGACGACCCGCCTCGACTGGCCACTGACCGTCGAGGCTGCAACAAGGTGTCACGACTCACGACCGTCTTCCTTGTGAGCTGACGGCAATGACACTGATCCAGTTTCGCGACAGGGCCGCGTCGTTGGCAAACAATCCCAATGGCCTGATGTTCGAAACCCGGAACGAAGATCACTACAGCTGAATGCCCTTTGGCAGCCGAATGCCCTCTGGCCTCCTGAAGCGTCCTCTGTTGTCCCCCGTTTCAAACAGCAGCCGAGGGCCTTGAAACACAGCCATGTCCTCGTCATCTTCCGATAGACCCCATCTCGTCCAGTGGATTCTCGATACCCGGACCCTCTGGCCCGAGGCCACCAGGACCAAGGATCTCGAACATGCCGTGAGATGCCGTTCCCCTCCCTCGTCTTCGCAACCCCGAGTTTCTCCTCGGGCCAAGCACGTACAGTACAGGGTCGTCCCTTACTGACAGATCCCAGGCCTCTCGTGCCCTGGCGCTCCTGACGCCCGACGAGCGTGCCGGCGTCCTTCGCTTCTACCACGTCCGCGACGCCAAGCTGTCGCTGGGCTCGCACCTCCTCAAGCGTCACGCCACTGCCCGTTTCTGCGGCGTCCCCTGGTCTCGCGCCGTGCCCATCCGCGACACCCCGACCGCCAAGCCGACCTGGCGCGACCCCGCCGGCCGCGAGCCCCTGCGCTTCAACGTGAGCCACCAAGCCGGCCTCGTGGCTCTCATCGCCGTGCACGACGACCAGGACCCCGGCGCCCTCGAGTGGGACGTCGGCGTCGATGTCGTCTGCACCTCGGAGCGCCGCGTCCGCGACCGCGCCACCATCGCTGCCGAGGGCTGGCCGCACTTTGTCGACGTCCACGCCGATGTCCTCTCGCCGCGCGAGGTCGCCTACCTGCAGCACGGCATCATGGCGCCCGTGCATCAGCTCCCCGGGCGGCCCGGCGACGGCGCGTCGGCCGACGAGGTCGCCGACTTTCAGCTGCGGTGCTTCTACGCGCTGTGGTGCCTGCGCGAGGCGTACGTCAAGATGACGGGCGAGGCGCTGCTGGGCGCCGTGGCTCAAGGATCTCGAGTTTCGGGGGTTCGGCGGGCCGGGGGGTGGGGGGGGGGGGTGGGAGGAG